GACTTACCTACGTGAGAAGAACCGTGATGACCACGGTTAGAGGAGCTGGGTTAACCCCTAGAAACTCTCATAAGTCGGTTATTGTGAGCATAGCCTTTAACGCTCAACCCGTTTTGCTCATTAGATGAAGACGTATTGTGTGTGTTTTTATCAATACTTGATTCAATGGGCCTAATTTAAGGTCTAGTCCATTATGTCCCTCAGGTGGCGATGAACTCACTAAGGAAAGGTTCAAAACCGAAAGCTACCTCTCCCGAATTCACGATACGAAAGGTTGCCCAACCTATATTTATTTTGTGATTTATTGATTTATTTATTGATTTTTTGTTTTCAGTCAAATATTGCCTTTTGGGGGAGGTTGTTTGATATTTTTTAGAAAAAGTCAAATTGCCTTCAACTATTCCTCTAAAATCTCTCAACTAACCCCACATTTTTATCTCTCAACTAACCCCATCTTTTTTCTCACTCACGTTTGACTATTTCTCATCACCATAATATAAAACCCACACACTTCATCCCTTAATAACTTCACTCCTAAAAACTCTCTGCTCACGTCCAGAAGAAAGAGAGGGAAAGGTGCTTTTGGGAATGGAGAGAAGAAATGAAGAAAAGAAAAATAATAAAGAGAGATAATTATCACGGGAAATTCCTTAGCTATTATTTTGTTCATTATTATTATTTTGGGCATCCTTCTTCGTCTGAGCAGAAGCTATGTGCTCTCGCCCGAGTACGGAGACCGGCCGTTTCTGGAGGTTTTTATTGCTATGGGGAGAGAACCATTTACGTTAGGACGATAGGCGGGTTCTCAATCTTCTAGGGCAGTGATTACACGACTGCTCCCGCCAAGCTTGATTTTTCTTATCTCTTACTTATTTAATTCGGATTTTATTTTATGCTATAATCTTGATTTATAGATAATTTCCAGCAGAATATTGCCAAGAACACGGTATTATTCATGAGGAAACTATTTCCTATACACCACAGTCTATCAAGATAGCTGAACAAAAAAACAGAACCCTCATGAACATGATAAACTGTATGTTACTCAGTTCAGGAGTACCTAAAAATCTCTAGGGTGAAGCTCTTCTTTCTGCCTGCTTCATTCTTAATAGGATTCCACACAAATCTTCCAATATAACTCCTTACGAATATTGAAAGGGGAGAACTCCTAGGTTGAACTTCTTTCGGGTTTGGGGTTGCTTAGCTAAGGTAGTTATTCCTGAACCTAAAAAAAGGAAAATTGGTTCTAAGACTGTTGATGCAGTTTTTATTGGATATGCACTAGATAGCAATGTTAACAAATTTCTAGTCATTAACTCTGAAATCAGTGACATCAAACAACACTATCATTGAAACAAGAGATGCAGTCTACTTTGAAAATATCTTTCCTTTTAAATCCAAAATCTCAGAAAATCCAATATCATCTCTTCCTTCTGATCAATCATCTTCTAGTTCTTCTCAGCCTCTTGATATTGAACCTCGAAGAAGTAAAAAATGTAGAATTCAAAAGAATTTTGTAGAAGATTTCTTTATTTTTCTTGTTGAAGGTGAGCCAAGCTCCTTTAAGGAAGCAATGGATTCACCTGAATCTCCTTTCTGAAAGAAAAGCATTGATAATAAAATAAAATCTATCATGAAAGATCATACTTGGATACTCACCGACTTACCTCCAAGTTGTAAACTTGTTGGTTGTAAGTGGATATTCAAGAAGAAACTTAGAGCTGATGGTTTCATTGATAAATATAAAGCTAGATTAGTAACTAAAGGCTATACTCAGCTAAAAGATATCGATTACTCTGATACATATTCTCTTGTAGCCTGAATCTCAACTATCCGAGTATTATTAGTTTTTGTTGTTATTCATAAACTGACCATACATCAGATGGATATCAAAACTATTTTTCTGAATGGTGATTTAGATAAAGAAATCTATATGTACCAACCTGAAGATTTTATTGCCAAAGGTCAGGAAAATAAAATCTACAAACTTGTTAAATCTCTAAATGGTCTAAAACAAGCTCCTAAACAATGACACCAGAAATTTGACAGAGTCATTGCACAATATGGCTTCACTGTGAATGAACACGATAAGTGTGTTTATTCTAAAGTGATAAATAATGACTATATCATCATTTGTCTCTATGTTGATATATTTTTCTTTAGAACAACCCTTGAAGAAATCTTAAAAGTTAAGGATTATCTCTCCAAGAACTTTGACATGAAAGACTTAGATAGTTAGATCTTGTTGACATGATACTTGAAATGAAAATCACTAAAGACACTAGAGGGATATTTTTGCTGTTATTCATAAACTGACCATACATCAGATGGATATCAAAACTGTTTTTCTGAATGGTGATTTAGATAAAGAAATCTATATGTACCAACCTGAAGATTTTATTGCCAAAGGTCAGGAAAATAAAATCTACAAACTTGTTAAATCTCTAAATGGTCTAAAACAAGCTCCTAAACAATGACACCAGAAATTTGACAGAGTCATTGCACAATATGGCTTTACTGTGAATGAACACGATAAGTGTGTTTATTCTAAAGTGATAAATAATGACTATATCATCATTTGTCTCTATGTTGATATATTTTTCTTTAGAACAACCCTTGAAGAAATCTTAAAAGTTAAGGATTATCTCTCCAAGAACTTTGACATGAAAGACTTAGATAGTTAGAACTTGTCGACATGATACTTGAAATGAAAATCACTAAAGACACTAGAGGGATATTTTTGAGTCTTTCTCATAGTATTGAAAAAATGTTGATCAAATTCAATTTCCATGACTCTAAACATGTCTCTACACCTTATGACTCTTCTATATCTTTGGTGAAGAATGAAGGTGAATCTGTCTCCCAGCTGAAGTATTCTCAGCTGATTGGATCTTTCCTATACATATCCAACCGAATTAGACCCGATATAGCTTATGTTGTAGGAAGACTGAACTGGTATACCAACAACCCTAGCAAAGATCACTGGATTTCCTTAGAGAGAATATTCAAATACTTAAAATGCACAGTTAACTATTGTTTGACTTACACTGGATACCCTGATGCTATAGAAAGGTAGAGTGACGCTAACTGGGTCACAGATTCTAACAGTACAAAGTCTACATCTGAATATGTATTTCTTTTTTGTGGTGCAGCTGTATCTTGGAAATTCTGTAAGCAAACAGTAATTGTCAGGAGCAGTATGGAGTCTGAATTGATTACTCTTGATACTACTTACACAGAAACAGAATGGTTAAAAGATCTCTCTGAACTTCCTTTGGTCCCTAAACCCTCTCCTCTAATTTCCATTTATTTTGATTCTAGATCCACCATAGAGCTTCTAAAGCAAGTACATGTAAATAAAAAATTTAACAGGCATATTCAAATAAGATATAACTCTGTATAACACCTGCTAGGCAAAGTTGTTATTCTATACTTTGTAAAGTCTGAGAAGAATCTTGCTAACCCTTTGACTAAGGGTTTATCCAGGAGTATAGTTCTGGATTCATCGAGGGGGATGGGGCTAAGCCATAAGTGAGGTTACTGACAGCGGGAACCTAACCTTTATTTAGAGACGCGGTCCTAATATAAGTTTAATGTGATAGAAACAAGCTGGACTGGTGACACTCGTGTAGAGCATCGACCTAGATATATTCATATATCATTATGGTAGCATCAGCTACTACCCCTTCTCTATGGTGACGATATTCTTATGATACAGCTGGTTAGGCTGAGTTTTACTCTTAATAAGTCCAACGCGTGTATTACAAAGAATATAATATCTAGCTGTAATACCCTTGAAAGACTTACCTACGTGAGAGGAACCGTGATGATCGCGGGTGGGAGGGCTGGGCTAATCCCTAGAAACTCTCATGAGTCAGTTATTGTGAACATGGCCTTTAACGTTCAACCCGCTTTGCTCAATAGATAAATACGTATTGTGTGTGTTTTCGTCAATACCTGGTACAAGGGGCCTAATTTAAGGTCTAGTCCATTATGTCTCTCAAGTTGCGATGAACTCACTAAGGAAAGGTTCAAATCCGAAAGCTACTTCTCCCGAATTCACGATTCGAAAGGTTGCTCAACATATATATATTGTGATTTATTAATTTATTTATTAATTTTTAAGTTTTCAGTCAAACATTACCTTTTGGGGGGGGACGGTTGACTATGTTGTGGGAGAAAAGGCAATTTTGCCTCTTATAAATAGTCACACATGGACTAGTGTTATGAATATTAAAGAGTTTAAATTGCTTCTCCCCTCATTGGGCTTTGAGGATCCCTAAGAAAGGGGTGTTTTGGGCTTTGTATTATTTGGATTTTGCATAACACACGCGCGCGCCTCGCCACGCCACAACGCCCGCCACGTCACGCCGCAAGCGCATGCGTTTCTTGTTTTCCAAACTTTATTTTTACACGTTTTACTCGTTTCTTTTTAACCCAGAAATTCGTAAAGGCTACTTCGTGCACACGTGCATAATGGTTGCACGAATTTTGCGTAATGGATGCATGAGTTCAACGGGGGTTACGTTACCGAAACCCTATATATATATCTCCTTACTCAGCTCGAGGAAAACACAGAATTACAAAGCTCTTCTCTCTCTGTTTTCCAAAAGAAATTATTCTCTCGTATTGTTTTATTTCGAGCAACCTCTATCTGAGCAGAAGCTCTGTGCTCTCGTCTAAGTTCAGAGGTCGTCCGATTCCGAGGGGTTTTACCACTAGAGGAAAGGGGATCATCTGCGTCAGGACGATAAACAGGTCCTTAATCTTTTAGGGTAGTGTTTACACGACTGCTCCCGATCAGCTCCCGATCAGGCCAAACTTTCTTATTTCTTTTATTTCGGATTTTGCATGCTATAACTATAACTTTATTTTGATTTTTATATAACAAATATTGAGGTCAACCACTATACCAATTTAGGAGGTTTTCTCTAATTTCCAAAGCTCAAAGGGGTTTTGTGCAACTCATCCTACAGTTCAAGGGGTTTTGTCAAATTTACCTTTATGAAAGGAAACCTTCAAGAAAAAAAGTATCATCCACTCTTCGAACGTTGAAGACGCCACCGCAGTCAATCAACCGCGTCAATAACACTCGTCCTCTCCATTAAATCACCTTCCGCAACTTCTACGTTTTTAGAGGTATAGAAGACACTTGACAGGGATAATTTCAGAGAGTCCAGGCGTTTTCCCTAACTTTCATGGTTCCGAAGTGTTTCCTGCAACTTACTACAAAGTTCAAGGGGTTTTGTGGGAAAAAAAATAGTACCTTCAAGAAACGAGAAAGAATTGAAGAAAGGAAGAAGCATCACATAACACACGAACACCCCTTTCTAGGGTTCTAGAGTTCTCCTCTAATTCTCAAATTTTCTGAAGGTTTTGTCAAAATGTACACTTACAGGGGGGGAAAGTAACTTTCGAGAAACAAGAACGGCTAAATATTCTCACCACTGCTCTGAGGCCCCATGATCGAGACGACGGCGTAGTTGATCCCGTAGTCGGCGAGCCTCGCCACCTTTAGGAAGCTCTCGAGCCCTTAAACGTTGAAGACGCCATTGCAATCGATCAACTGAGTGGAGTCGTACTCGTCTTTAGCCATTAAAGTTCCTCTTTTTCCTCAAATTTCTTGGGTTTTTGGAGTTTTGATTGAAATCAATTGGAATTTGGGTCGGAGAAGGAATTTTTTTTTTTTTTTTTTTTATTGAAGAAAAATTAGAAGGTGTTGGCTAGTCGTCAGCCGTTGGATTTGGTGGGCCCAAAATTCTTAAGGCTTAGATTCTTGATTGTGTGGGGGAGGGAAGGGATAACTTCAAAAGAGAGATCGAATTGATGCGCAAGCATTCCAGAATTGAATATTGCGCTAATTCCACATAACCCCCTGAACTTTAGTGAGTTTCTCACTAATCCTTCTGAATTTTATTTTACCTCACACAATCTTCTCGACTTCCGGGTTTACATTTTCCTGTTGGAACCACCTGTCTTAAATTTGTAAACAACTAGGGGAAAATCTCTAATGTTTTGTCATTTATTATTTATTATTGGCGACATACTCTATTCCGTATGAAGTTTGAATGTTTTTCTTCCAGGGCCTGTTTGTTTCGCAAAAAATTGCAGAAAGTGGGGGAAAGAAAATGAATTTTGATGTTTTTCTCTACTTTTTTATGTTTGGTTCGTCAAAATTCGGAAAACAAGTGAGGGAGAAAATGAGTTGTCACCATATTATTGGATGAGATGGGTAATTTTTTATGTTTTCCTCCACTTTCTTTATTTTTTGTTCTTTTTTTTGTTTGGTTCATTCTTGAAACTAAGAAAATAAATGAGAGAAAATGAGTTGTTATTATATTATTGGATGATGTGACCCATACTTAGGAAAATCAATTTCCTTATTTTTTTTTGGAGGAAATGGATGAAAGGAAATTTTAATGAGATGTGATGAGTTGTCACCATATTATTGGATGATGTGAGTAATTTTTAAAGATAGTAGAAAATAAAGGAAAGTTGGGTGAGGTGAGTTAGATGAGTTGATTGATGTGGCTTATTTTCTTGTGTTTAGTTTATTTTTAAAAGTAAGAAATAAGATGTGATGGGAAGAGTTGTCATAATATTATTGGGGGAAAGTGGAGAAAGTGAAGGAAATTGAGTTAAAGAAAGTGGGAGAAAGTGAAAAAGTGAAGGAAAGTGAGTTTTGGATTCTTGGGGAAACGAAGCAAACAGGCCACTAAAGGAAACTTTATTTAGTTGCAGATTACATGTATGGGGAGTCCGATAAGAAAATTCTCTTCCCTAAATTTAAATCATCAATATTTTAATTTTGTGAGTGAAATCAATATTTTGATAGTAGTCCTTCTGAATCTTAATATTTTGATATTAGGGTGTGTTCAGTAACCAAAAACTAAATGAAAAGTAAACCAAAAATTAGAAAGTGACTTTACTTTCTTTTTTTTCTCCGTTTAACACTTGGAAAGTGGGTAGAAAGTAAATAGAAAGTAAAGCATGTAACGTTAGCTTTTTAGCTTCTTTTACTTTCTTAAAAAATGGAGGGGGGAATTAGTTTTTAGTTATTTTTTATACCCTGTTTAATTTTCGAAACGTTTTCACCTTCAGTTTTTGATATGTCATGGCTTTGTATTTCTTCAATGAAACAAATCTGGACGAGAAAACCTTGCAAAATATTATTCACTAATAATTTAGAGCGGAAACTTGCTTATTAGTAGCATGGTGGATTCATATAGGACAATAATCATTTTAATTACTATTTGAATGAAACTTTTCAAGTGTCATATTCAATGATATGTTGTTCTCTAAAGTAGTTAGTGATGCATAAATTAGCATCACTTAGCTATGTCATAAACGAGACCTAAAAGAATGGCTTAATCATATTAAAAATGTTCTTGCCTATATAGTCACATGAACTGTATAAAATAAATATACATTTCAATGTGCAGATATATGAAAATAAGTGATTAACAAGTATAAAATTTTGGCCTTAGAAATGCAACTAGGTGTCCATTAAGTCTTCAAAATTAAAATATATCATGAAATTGAGTCTTTTACTTCTAGAAAAGTCTACTTCTTACTGTTTACTTTCCAATGAAACCAAACAATACATATAGGCTATGTTTGGCTTGAAAGAAAATAGAGGAAAGAAAAAGAAAGTACAGTAGAAAACAATTTTCGCGTGTTTGGTTTGGAATAAAATAAAAAAGAAAATGAATGTTAAAATCACTGTAGAAAGACATGCATAAACCCCATTCTTTTCCCCTTTCCCGACTTGATCAGAGTGAAAATGAGGGAGAGGGAGAGAAAATTTCCTTCAGCCTCCTTCAAAATTCCCGACTCCATCCCGATCTAGGCTGTTGGCCTTCTTGTTTTGATGATGTTTAACAAACAATTTACTACTAATGTTGTTTGTCTAGTATTTGTGTTTTCTTATTTATGATAGACAAACAACGTTGTTGGAGGATGGATGGAATAGAGCTTCAACGATGAAATCCAATGGAGGTTGGCGGAATGTCGGTGAAGCCTTGCTATTCAAAGTTCAAGATCCAAGTTCAAGCTTCATCCGCGAGATTACCAAGTCAAGCTTATTGAAGATCAAGATCATTGCTTGGGTAATTTAGTTTAGGAATTTATATTATGTGTGTTAGTACTTTAAGCTCAATCATATACACACATACACGTTTTGGTTTTTGTATATATATAGTTATATATGTTAGCCCTTATGTTTTGATGATGTTCTTACAACCACCATTATCGGTACTAATGGCTTATTGAGTGTAAATTTAGTAAAATCATTTGTCAAGCTCGTTAGTGCCATTAACGGAGGATGGATGGAATATACGCTAAAACGAAGACATCTAAAGGAGGAGGAGGCCAAAAAGATGAAGCAACGTTATTTCAAGAACAATAAAGTCATATAAAAGCTTCATCTGATTCAAGCTATATCAAAGCTCAAGTATTGCTTTCAATATGAGGATATTAGCTTTCTTTTGTTTTTCTCTCTAGTGCTAGAATGTAGGCAAAGAGTTACTGAGTTTACTTGAAGCTATTGGGAATCACACACACGTTTTTAGACTTGTGTCTTCTAAGCGTTTTTCACAAAACACTATTTTTCACAAGTATGAGTACCTATCTGCAAAAATTTTTTTCCAAACAGTTTGTTTTTAGTATTAAAAACATTTTACAAAGTTTCAGAATTTTCAGAGGTCAAATGAATATTTTGCAAATATTTCAAGTTGGTCAAAAATCTGTTTTCTGTAAAATATCAGAAATCGGTCGACCGATCCTATGGCCATCCCTTAGTATCTTTCCAGATTGTCGTCGGTCGACCGATACGGTCGACCGAATTTTCAATCTTCTAATCGGTCGACCGTGCCGGTCGACCGACGAGGCTCTGCTTGTTTTTCCAAATTTCTTTAGCTGCCCGCGGTCGACCGAATTTTTCGGTCGGTCGACCGACGGTATTTTCGGTCGACCGATTATTTCTTCGGTCAACCGATTTGGTCAGCCGCGATTTTTTAAAACGGTCGTTTTTCGCCTCGACTCCTGTGCTTTCACTTATTAGTGATTGGCACAGTCTGAGGTCACAACCTGCAAAGTAGATTATCTTCCTAAATAGGAAGATTGGGTTTTTGTTTTTATTGATTTAAACTCTTTTATAAAAACCCCCAAGCCTGCTTCTTCTTCCCTAAGCCCTAACGTTTTGAAAGAGAACCAGAGAGCTCTGTTTCTTCCTGAGAAAATTTTCAAATCAAACTTGTTCTTCTGAGTTCTTGTGTGTGTTTCACTTCCCAGCTTCAGTACTCTTCTCTTTGCTATAGGGGCTTGTGTAAAGAGAGTGTCTTGCATTTATCTTCTGCTGCTGTGAGTGAGATCTTGTGTAGATCGACTGTGAGGGAGTGTGATCTGTGAGATCAACTGTGTAGTGAGAGAGAGATCTTGTGGGATCATTGTGTAGACGAAGTTCCGGCTTCCAAACCGGATGTGTTAGTGGATTTCTCCTCGAGAGTGGGGAGCGGGGACGTAGGTCAGCGGGCCGAACCTCGTTAACACATCGCGCGTCAAGGATAACGATTCCTAACTTTATCTCTTTCTTTATTATTGCACTTCTGTTACTGTGGTTTGTTTGCACTGAATTTTAATTGCATATTAGAGCCTCTTGACCCTAATCACCCCCCCTCTAGGGTCCTTCAATTGGTATCAGAGCTTGGTCTCTATATCAGTTTTTGGTTTAACAACCTTAGAGAAAAGATCTAATGGAGGCATCTTTGGATATACATATGCTAGAAGGACAATCCACAACTAGGCCACCTCTCTTCACCGGCACAAATTTTGCTTATTGGAAA